CCAAAACAGAGAGATTCCTTCCCATTTTCTCTTGTTTGTGAAATTCTTTCTCAGGTAAATCTTCAACCTTTTCTGGATTCTCCACTTTCTCCCCCCGTAAACACACACACAGTTGCCCTCCACATGAACTATAAGACAATCACTGTATGACCTGGGGGAGGCAAAAGGGATTCAAAACAGGCTTCCCCAAGAAGAGCTAGCTACTTTGGCATGTGAATTATTTTGAGCTAAAGGCAATACTCCTACCCCTTCCTTAACTACCTACAAGAATCTAAATTGGGGGCCTTGCTCATAATGAGAGTTATCACCAGAGATAAACTTTATGACCTACCTATAGAGAAGGGCAAACTTCTAGTTACTGAACATCTGCTCTTATCTCCTTCGAATGGCCTTTCTCCCCTCTGAAGCCCCAGGCACCTTGCCTCCTCCTTAGCTCAGGTGCCATGTACACCTCATTTTCCCTGTCTCTTAACTTCTTGTACATGTAAGGTTCCCAAACGTATGTATGTATGTAACTAAATGTGGTTATTTTCTGTTGTTGATCTGTCTCATGTGAATTTCATTACTAGACCAGCTGCAAGAATCTAGAAAAGTTGGATAAATTTCTCCCTTCCCCACAAGGCTCTGCCAGGGTATGTCACGCGAGAAGGAGGCTAAGAGGAAGAGAAAAGACAAGAGCCCAGACACCCTTGGAAATGATGGTGAGGAAACCTGTCTGGAATGCCCACAGCTCACGCTCTTTGGTACAAAATGCTCAGTGAATGTTTTTCAGGTAAGTAGTTTGCTGAGAAGTGAGGAATCAGAGGAAGGGGGTCAGCTATAGATGTGAATATTGGGGATCCTCCCTTCTTTCCAGCTCAGTCACACACAGGGTGGACCAAAAGTAGATTTACAGTTGTATGTGAAACAGAATTTATTCTTGTATTATTTATTAATCATTGTATTATTTTTCTATATGAACAAATGTAAACCTACTTTTGCCCCACCCTGTATTTGTCTGGAGATTTATACTGTATTTGTGTTTCCTGTCTTCATTGTTGAGACAGACATAGAAGCCAGCCACAGAGGGAAATGAGCACTTTGCTGACAGGCAGCACGCTCAGTCCCTAGTATTTGGGCTCTGGGATCGGATGGAGTATGAAGCTGACTCAGGTGCAAGGAGAACTGGGTGGGGACACAAGTGCTGAGTGGTGGCCCCTCAGAGGCAGAACCCAGGCATCTACCACCAATCCCCTCAGAATTAGATGTTTGAAAAGGTGAATCTACTCAGATTGTTCAGGTGAAACATTAAAAAATTTGTGTTCCGCCCTGGCCGGTTTGGCTCAGGAGTTAGAGTGTCCACCCTCGGTCCGGAGAGTCCTGGGTTCGGTTCCCACTGAGGGCACATACCTCGGTTGCAGTTTGTCCCAGCCCCTGGTTGGGGTTGTGTGGGTGGCAGCCACTTGATGTGTCTCTCTCTCATGTCGATGCTTCTCTCTCTCTCTTCCTCCCTCCCACTCTATCTGAAGATAAATGCAAAAATGTCCTTGGGTGAGGATAAAAAAAAAATCTGTGTTCCTCCAGTGACTGAATTTCCGTAATGGAGCAGACAATTACTACCTTAAATTGCAGAAATAAACAGGGTATAAAAAGTGGGGCAAGTTTCCACCAAAAATTCTACCTCAATGGTCATGATGGCACTACTTCTTAATCAACAACCTTAACTTATTCAGCTTTCATATACTAAAAACTGGAGAGAAAAAAAGGGTTGGTGGGGGGATGGAAAAGGACCAAGGAGGCCTTTAAGATCAAAGCAATTTTAGGACAAAAGAGAACAAGCACTGAGATGCAACTTCTGAGTTTTCAAAGGTTTGCCATAGGGACAAATTACAGCGGTAGATTTTTTGGGTAAGATGCGCATTTTACCAAGCTGAACATTTAGAGCCACTGCCATCTGAAGTTTTTAACCTCGATTCACTTGCAACTTACCCTATACTATATATATGACCTCTTGTACGTCTTGTACTGTTTTTAAATTCTTGAAATACTGAACTTTTTAATACTGTGTCTTATTTGCCCTAAGACTATAAGCTCTTTGAGAGAAATGGCTGTATCATGCTCCCTACCCCCATTCCTTACCAAGAGGGTCACAATGAGCTCAATTAATCTACTAAACCGTTAACTCGTACATTTGGGGGGGGGGGGGGTCCTTGGGATATGCATTCCAAAAATGGACACGTTTTTAGTGAAAATCTAATGGCCAAGGGCTCAGCCAGCACAAACACATTCTTTCTATGTCTTCACTTTAATGACAAAGGATTGTTTAGATTTGGAGACGAAAAAGAATGGATTTCTTTTATAGTGTGTTCAAATACTCAAAAGAAGCAACTAAGAGTTCTTTGGATTTTATGTGGTGTCACGGTGCAAAGCCCAGGCCTCGCAGTTATCCTCAAAGCTGAATACCAGATTCCAGGTAATGTGCTCTAGCTGCCCCACTCCCCTCACGCTCACCACATGCACACTTGAAGCTGACATTGTTTCGTACATCATGGTCCACACCTCCAGGCTACAAACCAAATGCAAACTCAGGGTTTCTCAGCGGGGCAGGCCCACAACGAGAGGAGAGGAGCCTCATGCAGAAGAGCAACTCCAGGAAGCAGTCAGGGGCCCCTTCTCCAGCATTCCCGTTCTAAAGATAACCCGAAGCAGCAGAAGCGCATTTGTACAGGGACAGAAGTGTAAGCCTGAGAGACAGGCGGGCACATATGAACTGGGGACATTCCGAGCAAGAGAGTGGGGGCACAAACCACGCAGTGTGATGAGAGTCCGCCTGCGGCTTGGGTGTTGTGTGCTAGCGAGGATGTGAGCGTGTGAAATCTGCTCTGGAACCGGTGGCCGCGCAGCCTGGCCTGGCACAGCCTCCAGGTGGAAGAGAAGCAGGTGGCTTTGTTCCCGGAATGTGAATGAGGGAGCCGAGACCGGGTTTAAAGAAGACAGTGTTCCCTGGCGGGAACACGTAATCGACGTTGAGGCTTGGGAAGAGCGCGAAACTCACTATCAGGCTTCCCGGCCCGAGCTGCCGACTGCGCAGTGGGGACAGCCTCCATGGCCTGCAAGCAGCGCCCTGGGAAGCCGTGAAGCGGGCCCCGCCGCGTCCCCCAGCTACAGCCGGCGGCCCCAAGCTCCCGCCACTCAGCAGCGCAGCTAGCACTACGTTCCATTTAAAAATAACACCCACGTGCGCCGGTAAACAAGCGCGCGAGGTTGGCGACGCGGCGTGCCCCGGGCGAGCCTGTGCGGCGCGCGCCCGCCCTCCTCCCGCACGTGTCAGCCGGCTCCGCCCGCGCCGTTCAGGAGCTGCTTAGGCTCCTCCCCCTCAGCGGGCGGCGGGCCGCGTACCGCCCCCGAGTCCCGAGCGCCGCGGCTCCCCGGCCCTAGCGCCCCTGAGCTGCCAGTCGCGCCCCGCACAGTGCTCTCCAACTTTCCTCCCCTGCTGCCACCTCTTCACTGCCGAACCCGTCGCCCCAGGTCTGCTCCCTTCCTCTCGTCACTACCCCAGCCCTCCCACGTCTCTCTCCTATTAACTTTCCCTCCATCAGCACAAGGAGGATTGGCTTCTGGTTTCTCCCCTCCTCTCTTCCACCCCTCTTTAGAATTTTACTCGATTGTTTATTATTTGCTGGGGGCGGGGGACGGAGAGGGGCGTCTGGGACCTGGAGACTGGTGGCCGCAGCCAGTCAGCGCGCGGCGTGGCTTGACGAGTAAGCGGCGCAGCGAATGGCTTCGCGGTGTGGAGCTCCCGGGTCACGCGCGTGTGGATACAATGACATCATCTGTTTGTACGCGTCAAACTAGCTTGGTGCAGGGGCGGGACTGCTCGTCACTTGATTGACGGGCCCCGCGCAAAGCCCGGAGCCTGGAGTAGGCCCAGTGGGCGGACTTCTGCGTACGCTGGGTTGGGCTTTTTTGTGTGTCGGGGTGTTGAGTAGCCAGCTGTGGACTCTAAAATATCTCCAGTGGAAGGATTTAAGAAAAAAAATTTTTTTTTAATAATCCAAAGTGGATAGAGTTTTGGTGTGAGTGTAGCATGCCGTGCATTCTTAGTGCACAGATGAATGATTTGGGCACTGATCATTGGGGAAAGATTAGTAAAGAGGCCTCTTAAAAAAGTCAGAAATGCAGAGTTAGATATTTGCAGTCATTTACAAATTATAATCAAATTATTTCCCATTCACAATTGTTCAAAATCTGCTCTCGCGTTTAGGAATGGGGGAATAATTTGTTGTTGTTGTTTTCTGAGTTAGTTACACTTCTCCCTTCGTTTGCCATAAAAGCCTGAAAAGTGAAACACGACTGCCGTCGGGCGTCCTGGGTTAAGAGACTCAGTGCAAACCTCTTGGTGCCTGATCAAATCTGAGGGCATCAACTAGCTTATCGAAGTCCTGAAGGGTTGACCAACATCTTCGCTTGTCAGTATTTCCACGCGAGGTAACCCTTGCAATCTGCGGTCAGCATCTTATCTCGGGTGTTACCTGGTGTTCGGTTCTAAACGGGAACCGGACACCAGGGCGGGCCCAGAGCCTGGCGGAAAGACGCGCTGGACGGGGACCCCGGGTGCCAGGCACCCTATCCCGCGTCAAGCAGACCACGCAACTGCCCTCGTGAAGCTTTGGGGGCTCTGCTTCTTTCTTCCTTCTTTTTCTGGCCCAGCACTGTGCTTTGTTGTTGAGGGTCTGAGAAAGGGAGGAGGAGCCCAGCGGGGACGGCTGCGGGAGCCCGCGGAGTCCCGGCCCGCGGCGCGCGCCCTGACACCCACGCCTGCAGCCCCGCGGAGCCGAGCCGCGCAGGCGCGCACGCGAGCGCACAGACACACACGGACACCAGCACACTCCGGCCGGCCGCCCAGCCCTCCCCCTGGGCGGAGACCCACCCGCCCGCCCGCCGTCAGCTTAGGTTGAGGCACCCTGCGTGTGTCTATAACTTTGTGCTGCTGCCGCGGCCGCCCTGCTCGTGGAAGGGAGGAGGAGGAATGTGGAAGGCGGCGGCGCGCAGGCTGACAGGCGGTTTCTCAGGCGGGCTGCGGTGGCGGCCGGAGCGCCTCTCCTTCGCCAAGGTTGCGCGACCCATCTCCGTCGTGCCCCGGGCCCGCGCGGGATTGTGCGCCCTCCCCCCTCGTCCCTGAAGGGAAGGAACCGAGGTAGGCGCCGGAGCTGTGCAGCGGGGCGGCCGCCTTCCCGGTGACTCCGGATCTGCTTCTGAGCTGGGCCAGGCGCTTCCCTTTTCCCTCCCCGTGACTCGATGTGCGCGCCCCTCTTCTCTCCCGCTAGTGTTTTTAAAGGACTTGAGCGAAGGGGGGGAAACTGTCAAGATGGCAGCAGCGGGAGCAAGGAGGTGATGAACGTGCTGGTCCGGGTTTTCTGGCGATCCGGGAGACTTGGCGCTTCCCGACCTGTTGGAAGATTTATGTTCCGACTTGCCCCCTCCCCCCGTCCTTTACAGGGAAAGGGGTGGAGGGCGGAATGTCCGTGAGAAAATAAACCACACAAAATCCCAAAGTAGCCCTTTCTGCTAGGCTCGACCCTTTGCGAACACCCGCCGAGCTGCTTGCCCTCCTTCCCGTGTTTTCTTTTTTCTGGAAGTGACAAGGGCCCTCGTGCGCTCGGACCCACGTTCGCTCTCGCGGCCCGCGGGCGAGGAGGGGAGAAGGGAGCTGCCCGCGCCGTCCCCGGCCTCGGGCCCGTCCGCTAGGAGGGGGGTGGCAAGGGGGCGCGGAGGCGGCAGGGCCGGGAACCGGGAGAGGAGCCGAGACGCCAGACTTTGGCGGCGGCGCCGCGGGAAGCACTTGAACGGGCTTGAGCGAAACATAAACAAACGCACGCCCGCGTGAGCTCGGGCTCCGACCGCAGCTGGGCTACGCCAGCTCCGGCCGCTGCCCGCTTTAAAGGCACGGCCCGCGCCCCTCCCCCGCCCCTCCCCTCCCCCTCCTGCCCCTCCCCCCTCGTCCCCGCCCAGCACCTAGCCCAGGAGAGACCTGCAGATCTGGCAGCGGCTGGGGGAGGGTGCTGCCCCATGCGAGCCCGTCGATTCGCCCGCGTCTCCCCCGAGGCCTGGCCAGGGGGCGGTGTCTGCTGCGCCAGGTTCGCGGGACGCACGTCTCCAGGTCTGCCTGCTCCTGGAAGGCGGGCGCGGTGCGGTCGGGGAGCGGTGGCGGCTGAGGACTTGCCGAGGACTGGGCTCCAGCCTGGGATAACCAACTCCCCTTTTCTCTCTTCTCGTGCTTCCCCAGGCGGCGGCAGTAGCGGCGGCGGCGCCCGGGAGTCCTAGCCTTCGCAGCGTCCCGGTCCCTCCCCCGCCGCACCCCGCCTGGGCAGAGAAGGGAACGCGAGAGCCCGAGCCGCGGGCGGGCGGCGAAGATGGCAGAGGCGCCGGCCTCACCGGCCCCGCTTTCTCCGCTCGAAGTGGAGCTAGACCCGGAGTTCGAGCCCCAGAGCCGGCCGCGCTCCTGTACGTGGCCCCTGCAGAGGCCGGAGCTCCAGGGAAGCCCGGCCAAACCCTCAGGGGAGGCGGCCGCTGACTCCATGATCCTCGAGGAGGAGGACGATGAAGAAGACGAGGACGGCGGTGGTAGGGCCGGCTCGGCCATGGCGATCGGCAGCGGCGTGAGCAGCACGCTGGGCGCTGGGATGCTCCTTGAGGACTCGGCCCGGCTGCTGGTTCCCGGAGGGCAGGACCCGGGGTCCGGGCCAGTCCCCGCGGTGGGCGCGCTGAGCGGGGGGACGCAGACTCCCCTGCAGCCTCAGCAGCCACTGCCACTGCCGCAGCCGGGGGCGGCTGGGGGCTCCGGGCAGCCAAGGAAATGCTCGTCGCGGCGGAACGCCTGGGGGAACCAGTCCTATGCCGATCTGATCACTCGCGCTATCGAGAGCTCACCGGACAAACGGCTTACTCTGTCCCAGATCTACGAGTGGATGGTGCGCTGCGTGCCCTACTTCAAGGATAAGGGCGACAGCAACAGCTCTGCGGGCTGGAAGGTGCGTACCCACCTCGGGCGGGCGGTGGGACCCGCCGGGCCTCCTGCGCAGTGCGAGACGCGCCTTCGATTCGTTGGAGCGCGCCTACCCGCGCCGGGGAGAGGGGTTGGCAAAGAGCCTCGGCTGTGAGGCTTTGGGGGTTCTGTGTGATCCCGAAGGAGGGGTACCTAGGGACAGCCGCGGAGGGGCGGCGGCAGGGGAGAAGGAGGCTCCCTGGGAAGTTTCGGGCATGGCCAGGTTCGGAGAGAGGGGGCAAGGGACTGCGGAGAGGGAAGGACAGACTGACAAGAGTGCTTCTGCTGGATTCCTGGGACAGCGTGGAGCAGGTAGGTCCGCGGCCAACTTTGGAGTGGAATTCACCATAGTAGGGGTGCGGCGAGGGCGCTGTGGGTGGAGTGAGGGGACGTGGGGGTTGTGTTTGGGACTCGTTGTCGGGAGGAGGAGCTGGATTTGTTTTCCAGGAGCTTGATGCGTTGTTACTAGCTGGGTGAGAACCGTTGGGTCCAAGTTTCATGGTTATAGGTGTTAACTTCCACAGACATAAAAATATCGTTAGAAAAAGCAGTGGTTGCAAACCTTTTCTAGTGGGCTCTCTATGGACACTTTTATTGCTCAGAGGTGTCTCTTTAGTAAATCTGCCCCCAGTAGTCTCGGAGATGTTCAGGGGCCAGGAACTGGCCAGCTCTGCCACCTCCGCGCGGTATGGCCACACTTGCTGCTCGGGTTGAGGCCTGGACTCTGGCCTTGAGGTGCGGTCCAGGTGTGGGGGACTGGAGGCCTGGTGCCTCACCTAGGCCTTTAAAAGGGAGGTTTGGTGGCAGGGCTGGACTGTAATGGCTTCTACCAATAAGTGAACCTGAAGAGAGGCTCTCTACTGTTCCTTTTCAGCCTCTTGGGGGCACTGGACACGTGGTAGGGAGAGAGGTGTGGAAAGGACTATGATGTAATGACTTCCTGCAGTTGGGCATCCAAAGAGATTAGCTACTGTGCCCCTGCTGATACCCAGCTGCTTTGCTCCTCCTAGCCCCTTCCCTCAAGATATGAATGTGTCAGTACCAGGCAAAAGAGAGTCTGCGCATTTGGAGATACTAAGTGCTTTGTCAGTTGCTTCTATTTGCAATTAGCTGCCTTTTTTTTTTTTTTTAAATTAAAGAGGTAGTTGCTTCCTCCTTTTGACCCTTCCTTTATTGTCTTTGGGGAGCCTGTATCTTCCTGGGTTCTAGTAGGTGCATAAAATAAGAACAGTTTGACCTTAATGGAGAACTGAAGCACTGGAGAAGAGACTGTATATGAAAAGCTAAAGAATTTAGTGCATTGACTTTTAATTTGCTTAAAAATAAAACCCTTGCTAAGTGCCTTTAAAAAAAAATTTTTTTTATGACCATTATTGTAGAGGCCTTGTTTAGATTTAAATCCTGTTTAGATTAAACAAACTTTAAAAGCAAAATGTGTGCTTTGATATTATTCCACAAATCTGTTTCATTTCCTTTAACAAATGCTGACAGTATGAACATTACATTTGATTGGATTTTATTGCTTTGCAAAGGAATGCCAGTTGTGTGATATGAGGGCTCTTTACAGAAAGGCGGAGAGTTCCATTTCAAAGCAGTGCTAATGTGATACCTTTTAAAACTGAATTTCCAAGTGCATAGCAAGGGTTAATCTCAGTGTACTGTATCAGGAAGGGATGAGTTTACAGGATCTAAGAAGATAGCTTTGGGGTTTTGGAGTATTTTTCAAATTTCTCACACTTGAAATTTAGTCCTGCATGTTTTGAATTTGGTGCACAGAGCCTGCTAATTAAAAGTTAGTTAACTTAGTTAAAAAAGTTAATGTAGGAAGAGTTTTCACATTTCCTATGGTTTTTAAGATTAAAAAGTAATTTAATTCCACAAATAGCATTTCTAATGCTGTTGTGCTTATAGTTAAAATAATACAGTTTAATAATATTAAAATATTAAAAACATTTTTAAAAAGAAATTATGTGAGAAAATGGTATTATCAAAAGTAACTATGACTTGAGACTGGGCTAATTATATTTTCATGTAGTTTGCAAGATTTGCAAAAGAGATTTTGGGCCTCATCATAAACTTTGTAGTTTTATGTCCTAAACAATTTTTGGGTTCATAATTTTTTTTCCTTCTCTTCTATCTTACTTCTCTTTAACCAATTTTTATGAAATATTATAAATTAAAACTCTCAAGCCTTAACATATTTAATACAGGGCACGCATTTTATGATTATTTTTATTGTAAATTGTTACACCAATTCCACTTATGAATATTATGTGACAAACTAATTCCTGAAGACTATAGGGATAAAATTTAGTTCAAGAGTTTTTGTAAGATGACCTTTATCAAAAGATGCAGCCATGCAAGAACTTCCAAATCTTTGATGATGGAGAAGGCCCTTTGAAACTGGGGCTGGTTTCATATTCCGATTATGACTACTAGCCAACCCTTTCTGTGCTTGTGGTTTAGAGGGGGCAGAAGAAGAGGTAAAAGGGAGAGGTCAGGAGATGATTGTGACCCACGTTCATGTATCCAAGTTTCAGGAGTTGGTTCCTATCATGATTAGTCATTTTTGAAGCATGCATGTTCATTTAAACCACACTACTTTCATTCTGAATTATGCATTTGGGTTTCTAACCTCTAAAAATGTCTAGAATTCAGGTTACTGTCTCCTAGTCATGTGTGCACATAAGCAACGTCTGCAGGGTCTAGGCCTTACTTCTTTTGTGGCTTTTTGGGCCATTGCATTATGAGACCCTAAAACCAGAATTATCACCCTAAGATCATAGAATGAAAGAGGACTTTGGAGATCAGACTCGAGACCAGTGGTTCAGAGCCCTGGTTGCATGTTAGAATCACCTGGGAACCTTTAAAAAACACCAATACTCAGAGAATCTGATTTAATTGTACTGGTGGGTGGATTAGTGTTTGTTATTTGGGGAGGGAGAGAGGTTTGAAGTTTCTCAGGTGATTCTAATGTTCAGCCAGGATGAGGATTGCTGATGTAGTTCAACCCCTTATTTAATAGGTGAAGAACCTGATTCTTCAAGTTAATGACTTTTCTAAGATCACACAGTTAGTACAGAGGTAATTAGTAGCCGCAGTTCTAGAGGTCTTTGTTCTTAATCAGTTTTCTTCTTTAAATTGATCTTTTTAAAAGGTCATTTTCTAAGTAATGAGTAGCCTTAACATAGGTAGACGTCGCTTTCCTGAAAACTATATTTGCCTCTCAATTTAAAAACGTCTTGGTTATTATTTCAGCATCAGAAAGACAGATGAATATTGATGGAGGCCGAGTGAGTGTGTCACATTTGTATAGCTGTCCAGTGCCTATCAGTAATTGTTTTTGGGAACTATGAAGTGATAAAGGTGGCAAAAAAGATAGCATTTTAACAGAAAGAGGACATTCTTGGTTAACTCAGGTTTGTCCAGATGCCTGCTGAGTCAGGGAGAAAGGTGATGGCTATCTCACAGGTTTTCTTACCTCAGGCACTAAAGTAGAAGCGGATAATCAGATGTGGTTAAGGGGGGAAAAGGTTACATTTCCTTTAATTCACATTAAGCTTACTTGCACTGCACCCATAATTAAAGTAGTGAGTTCTCTCGGTTCCTCCTGTCTTGGGTAGACCTCGAAGACTCCAGTTTACCTTGTAAGGCCTGTTTACCACTTATTCTCCTACACACACACACACACACACCTGTATTTCCCTGGATCAGGGCACTGAGACATTAGGCAGCTTTGAGTTTCTGTGGTGGGTCCCACAATTTCACAAATTTCGGATTCTGTGTGACAACTTCTGTTGCTACTGCAGAGCGTAATTCTTCAGGAGATGGAGTCTTTCATAAGAGAATATGCATTCTTAGAGTGTCATCCCAGGTGAGTGAGGGCTGACCTCACTCATTAAGCTTGTTTATGTGCCCACTGTTCTAGCCTTTTAGGTTAATGCAGGCAGTTCCCTTTCAACATGCCGAGTGAAGAAAATTTTAACTGCAACTTTTGTGTTTAAAATATATATATTATATATTTAAAATTTCAAAATTACAAAGTCATAATAATTGCATACTGTCTCATAATTTTGACCTCAGTCACCTTTGGAGTAACTCACGAAAGGGCCAGTAATGGTCTTTGGTCACGTGTGAGGAATCTGTCTTCGGCTGGGCCCATGTTGCCAAAATGCTGTTTTGTAATTTCCTTTGGCAGTCCTGTCATCGTCAGTGATTCTCAGCTAATATACTTCCTCTTCCTACAGCAGCAGTACACTAGGGGGACCGTTTTCCTCTTTTTCAAAGCTGTGTCATCGACCTATGAAGTGAAGAAATTGGCCCTTTTAGACTTTGATCTGTGGGCCCCATGTAGCAGAGAGACTCTTTAAAAAAGAAGCTAAGTGTTTGTTTTGATATGTTTATCTTCTTCTTAGAAAATGAAATGAAACTATGCAGACTTATTTTTAGGAGCTTTTAAGAGAGCTCTATTTTAAGAGAATGACACCATACAAGAACATCTTGTAGTTAAACTTTTTAATACTCTACTTGTGATTCTTATTAAAATCTGCAAGATATTTTTATTTGAAAAATTAATGAAGGGGCCTTGTCTCACTAAAAAGTCATTTACTTGCTCTGGAAAACTTTAGCAGACTCTATCCATCCAAAGATCTTGATTTAAAACTGCAAAGATAAGACTGTTTAGGCCTGTGCATTCTGGCGAGGTAGCCCACTTAGCCATTGCTGATGCATCAGATTCCAGATCCCTGGGGCTGGGGAGAGTATGGAATTTATTTTATTTTCATACCCACTCATCTTGCCTGTAGGGAATAGACTTGATTCTATTCTTAACTCCTCATTTTTCTCCTCACCTTTTCCCATATCACAAATTGAGGGGTCCTGAATATCCACTTTGGCTTTTTGCTGCTGTAGAAGGAACTTGGGGTGACATACATACAGGTGAGTATCAGTGGACAAGGGGACATTACAACTGGGGTACAGTAAATGAATAAAAGATTGCAAAGAAAAAACCCTTTTTACCCATTGCATCACATGCCATTGCATTCATTCAGCAAATATTTATGAAAGGCATACTATGTGCAGGGCATTCTGCCAGCCCCAGGGATCTGGTAGTGGCACAAGACAATAAGGTTTCAGTTCACAGGCGTTCGCAGTCTACTGGGGGAAGACAGAAAATAAATATGCAAATCTATACTCTGAACTTGTCATTATTGTCCATTCTCTTTGCCTTTTTTACATGTGTACTTCTGCTTTCCCTCCCTAGTGTATCAGCTCTGCAGATGGCAAAGTTGGTGTCGAGCTCTGGTTTGGAGCTGGCCTTTAATTCTCTGCAGGTCATTTTCAGCTTGCTTTGGAGATACAAGGCCACCGTAACATGGCTGCTATAGTTTGGGTCTGTTTGGGAGAAGCTGGGGCTTTCCCATATCTACCCAGATTCGAGCACACCTGGGGCCCTGGACTAATCTGGGATCCCCAATCTTTCTCATGGAGCCTGGTATAGGACTGGCCTCCCTCTGGAGTGGAGGTGGAGCCTTGAAACAGATGACTCACCTGCATTACTTCTTGCCTCAAATTCAGAACTGAACGAGGTCTTAGAAATTATCCAGCTGTTTTATAGGTGAGGACACAGAATTGAGTATGTCCTCATGAGCCCAGAGCACCACTGTTCTGGAATGCTTGCTGCCAACCTTTGTGGTTTCACAGCTGTTCATGTCAGTGCCTCGGTTTCTTCAGACTCTTACTTCATTTGCTCTCTCAGCTCCTCTTCCCCTCCTCTAGGCTGGCTCACCCAGAGTAGCTGTGTTTCTGTGTTTGCAGTCTTCATCAGCTCCAGCTCACCTTGCTGGAAAAGCCTACTTGATCCACCCCACCCTACCCAGCCCACCCCCTAACTCCTGATGTTTCTTTTGTCATTTTTTTGTGTGACTTCTGTATATTCCCAAGTACAGTGTAAGAGCCTCCAGAGCACGGAATGTGTCTACCAAACAGATAAGTGTTTCTGATACTTGGAGCTGCTTTTGGGATCACCATGTCCTCAGCCCATGAGGACAGCCTTGTCTGGGGCTCCACACTGAAAGGGGACAATGTGACTCGGGAGTGAGTTGATGTCATGTATAGAGTCTTTTGGATACTTGTAGCTATGAAGGTGGCCTCTGTCTTAGACCAGCTAGTGTTGATGTTGATATGATGCAGTGCAATTATGAAATGTTGCTCTGCTAAGTAAGGCATTTCTCACAGTGTCTTGTTTCCTAGTGTAGAAGTCCCTGAAAACTTCATCAGTGCCAGTCACTACCCATGACAGAAACGGAGAGAAACCTGATCTCGGAATGACCTTTCATTAAGAAAAAGTTGAAATCTAACCTGCCGTCTGTGTGTGCACCCCACTTTATGCAGCATCAGTATGTACTGTCTAGAAAGAGTCACTGTGGAATAGTTCTGCCTAAAATTTACTTATCCACTTCTTATAGGAGCAAAGTTGTTGTATAAAACTGAGTTGTCCATAATGTTCTGCATTTGGGGGCATATGTCTCAGGTGTTCTTGAAGTTTTATGTACATGGATCGAAAAATAGATGTCACATATGAAGGAAGAAGAGAAAGCAAGCAGTCTTTAAGATGGACCTTTTCAGGGGTCTAGTTGTAGCTCTTTTGAGCTAGAATTTTCTGACTAGGTTATTAGGCTAGTTAGTGATTATGATAAATGACCCCAAATCTGATCACATCACTATCACAGACAGACTCAGTACCTTTAACCATTTTATTCCTGACCAAACAACTCTTATTTTTCAGTATCACAATTTCTTCAATTGGAAAAAGAAGTAAAGTAGCAGGCATCCATAGATTGTTGTGACTTATTGCTCTTTCCTGGTAAAATGCAAATACATGATTGGAGTATGTTTCAAGCTGGGTTTTTCTAGTGCGTCATCCACTCTTCACTCGGACTTTTCTTTTGAGATTTTCATCCTGAGACTTTTTCTTTGCAGTGTAGCAGTTAACTGTTATGGGATAACACTACAACGAGAAATGGACTAACTTCCCTGATGGGCTGTGGTCCTTCCAGTAATTTGCTACTCTAGTAATCGCTTATGGTGAAGAAGCCAGGTAATTTTCTGGGGGCTCACAAGCCTGCATGTCCAGAAGCCGTCTAGTCCTTTAATGAAGGAGGTGAACACAGAGCAAGGAAAGCTCCTGGCATACTTGTTATGGGGCAAGGCCAATGCAGGAAGTGACCCTTGCCCCAAACAAATGAAATTCATTAGCGTTCTCCTGGAGTGAACCCATAAAAAATCCAATAGAGAAGCCTTGGGCAGTTTTCAGTATGTGTTTGTAATTTCTTATTTTTTCCTTTTAAGACTTTTACGTGTGTTGGGGAGAATTCGTGTCATATTTTTCCTTGTGTTTTGGATGTCTAGAGAAATGAGTAACTTGGCTCCTGATGCCATGGAGAATTTATTTTAAATTCAGAGCCAGCAGAGGGAGTACACAAGACTTTAAGCAGATCTCAAGTATTTTTTCCCCATATAGCTAAAGTAATACCTTGATTAAAAACGATCAAGATCTCTAATATATCATGCTTCTGTGTAGGCTTATGTCATCATGAGAAAAGGATAGCTTGGAGGAGTGGCAGTTAAAAACCTAAGGTAACTTTTTTAAAGCCAACTGGTCATCCATGCCCCATCCCCAAATAATTAAAGTATTTTTAACTGAAAAACCTCCTCCCCTGCCTTTAATCTTTTGCTACTCCACTCCTGATACTATATGTGAATGTCCATCTATACCTAATACCAAACCTCAGAGTATATCATGTGTCTGGATCAGTGGAATAATCTGTGTTTTAGTGTTGTTGTGGTTGAGACTTTTGATTTTTTCTAAAACTTTAGTTTCCCATGGGTTGAGAGAAAGGTAAAAACTGCATCAGTTCCAACTCGGACTTCGTAGTCATGGATCCACTGGAAATCAAAACTTTGACATTTTTGCAGTTCTGTGATGCCATAACTTGTCATTTCCCTCCACTTTGTCCCATATATATATTTTTTTATATCCTCACCTGAGGACATTTTTTGCATTCATCTTCAGATAGAGCAGGAGGGAGAGATAGAGAGAGAGAGAAACATCGATGTGAGAGAGACACATCGACTGGCTGCCACCCACATGATCCCAACTGGGGCTGGGGACAGACTGCAACCGAGATACGAGGAACTGAACCCGGGTCTCTCTTGACTGTGGGCCGACGCTCCAACTGGGGCCGGGGACAGACTGCAACCGAGATACGAGGAACTGAACCCGGGTCTCTCGACTGTGGGCCGACGCTTTAACTGCTGAACCAAACCAGCCAGGGCCCATATTTTGGTTTTGATGTTTTATTTTAATTTGTGAGTTATAGTGGGTTGAAAAGTGTTCCTCCAAAATTCACATCTACTTGGAACCTCAGAATGAGACCTTATTTGGAAATAGAGTCTTTCCAGAGGTAACTAGTTCAATTAAGATGAGGTTATATTGGATTAGGGTGGGTCCTAAATCCAATGGTTTCCTGATAAGAAGAGGAGAGGACACTAGATGTGGAGAAGGCCAAGTGAAGACTGAGGCAAAGATTGGAGTGAAGCAGTTACAAGCCCAGAGCACCAGGGATAGACAAGAGAACCACCAGAAAGGCAAGGAAGGAGCCTTCAGAGGGGGCGTGACCCTGCCAACACCTTAATTTTGGACTTCTAGCCTCAGGCACTGAGAGAATGAATTTTTGTCTTTTGAAGCCCCTAAATTTGTAGTAATTTGTTTGGCAACCTGAGGACACAGAAGCACAGGGATGGAAGAGAGGGACAGGGAGGGTTGCAGATAGAGAAGAATAAAAAGGCTTAATTAGATTAGAATTGAAATGTTAATCATTCATAGGCAACTTGCTGGTAATTTAAATTTGCTTCTTTATCTTGCTGTGAGGGGGAAGTGGGGAGGCAGGATTCTCCTGGGCTTCCTAATTAGAACTGTTAGAACTTTTCCCTCCCTCCCATTTCTTCTGTGGTTTGTCCAGGGCTCCCTCTCTACATTCCTTATTTTTCTGTTCTTGGTCTCATTTGGAAGTTGGTGGTGTGGCTGTCCATGTGGAGTATGGGCTTTGAGATTGACATTAAGGCTGTGTGGTCTGGGTGACAGCTTTGGTCTAGAACAGTCAGACTTTAAGAGGAGAGAAGAGCCTGGGGTCCTCAGTGGAACAATGGTGTTGAAGAAGGATCCTTTCTTCTGGGCTTGGGAAGATGGGGCCCTATCAGGTTCATATGTATCAGTGATGGTGGTGAAGGTAACCCAGAATCTCTCTAGAGTACCCTCAGCTCCAAGTTAACATCCATCACCACACAGTTACAGATTGTGTGTGTGTGTGTGTGTGTGTGTGTGTGTGTGTGTGGAGAATTTTAAAGATTTATTCTCATAGCAACTTTCAAATGTGTACTACTAACTACAATATTTAATGTGTATTATTAACTATAGTCAACATACTTATGTTATATCCCCATGACTTGTTTATTTTATAACTGGAAGTTTGTACCTTTTGAAAATAGTTGCCATTTAAAAAGTTGTTGCTATGTGCCACATTCTTTTTTTTTTTATCCTCACCTGAGGATATTTTTCCATTTTTTGTACAGATAGAATGGGAGGGAGAGAGAGGAAGGGAGAGAGAGTGAGAAACATCGACGTGAAGGGACACATCGAGTGGCTGCCACCCGCACGACCAACCAGGGCCGGGGACAAACTGCAACCAAAGTACATGCATGCCCTTAGCGGGAACCGAACCCGGGTCTCTCCGGACCGCAGGCCGATGCTCTAACCGCTGAGCCAAACTGGCCAGGGCTGTGCCACATTCTTTACATCTATTACCACTAATCCTCAGGTTAATCCTTCAGAATAGTGTCTTGAATGCATATCTTCGTGTGGCTGACTCAGGGTAACTAACACCCCCTCTTGTGTGTTGGTCGGGGAGTGGACTTGGACCCATGATTTAGGCTCCTTCCCTTGATTTTTGCCTGAGCTAGTAACTTAAAGATTGAGCCAGTGCTTGGGCTTGAAGTGGGGGAGTGGAAGGGGTGGCTTTAGAATTCTTTAGAAACCTGTTGGTTTGAGGATTCATTTCTGTTTGGTCACTGACTTGTGTGACCGTGGTTTACTATGGGTCAGATACAGCATGAACTATTGAGAACTAATAGAGTGAGACATAGTGTGTAGGAATCCCTTGGGTTGGGCTGTTATCTCTGAGAAATTCTGCCTTGGGAGAACAGGATGTCTGTGGCTCTGTAGGTTTCAGGTAGGTAGGTGAATGGAGACACTACCACCAAGAACAGCGGATTTCAGGGAAAAAGATTTACAAGAAGTTCCTGGTAGAAGTTTGGCTGCCAAATCAGATCTCATAATTAAAGGCATTAAAAATATTTTGTTAGGTGGATGACTCTTTGCAATGCAGTTACTAGGATTTAAAGGCAGGCTGCCAAGACAGAAACAGAAAATGTTGCATAATGGAAGTTGCTGGCCAGGTTAAAGTGTTTATTTCTATTGAAGAGCTTACTGCTTTTGTCTTCAAGGTTAAAAAATATGTATATATGAGTAGGACCTAAAATGATGGTTTTAATTGGCCACCGGAACGCAGAACCCATGTGCCCTAGGATAAAATGTGTCTAGCAGAATACTAATCTCATGTGTGTGTGTTGGAAAAAATTTCAGAACTCTCAGTTTCATAGTAAAGATAGGTGAGTAGTGTCTGGATTGTGTCCAAAAGATAGACTGAAACCCCGTGATAAATGTGGCGCAAGCAGACGGTTCTGCCTGATAACTGAATATGGCCGGGGTGTGTGTCGGGGTGTGTGTGTGGGGGTGGGGGTGACAGGGTTGGAGGCAGTTGCAGCAGAAGGTGGCTATGGCCACGATGGACTTCTAAAGGTACAAGTCTGGGTGTAAACCTGAAGTTTAAGGAGGGCATAAATTATATCCAATATAGCTTGTGAGATGTCTCCTTGAAAATTGGAAGTACATTAGAAAGATCAAGTGGATAGTTAAGTCATTAACTCGTATAATTCAAGTCTTGAAACTGATTTTTCCCCAGAATTGTCTTAATAACTGATTTTTAAAGTGATATCGCTTTCATCATAAATGATCCCGATAACTGCCTTGGTTCCATGTTTCATATAAAGTTCAGCTGAGTGATGTCTAAAGCCTCTTGCTCACCTTCCTCTCCTTCCTTTAAAAATTTTTAATTTTACTTAATATAAAAAAAACTCAATAACTGAAATTATAAAGTAAAATGCTCTCTCTAGATCTTGCCATTATAACTTTTCATGTTGATAAACTCCTTAAAAAAAAAAAAAAATCTAACTAGTTTAAAACTCAGTGTTGCTGTAGGTCTCCCAGCGTTTTTACCTCACACAAGAGCGGTGTTGGGGCTTCCTGCCAGCATTCCAAATGAGGGACCTGTTCATCTAACCCTTCATCCATTTGTATCTGAGTCTGTATTGAGTACCTTTTCTTCTTTTTCCAGTTGGTGCAGTGAGAAGGGGATACTTCTATTCACTGGTTATTTTTCAGTACAGTTCCGTTAACAGATTGATTTTCCATGTATGAATATACCTATCATTCAAATAAATAGTGGCCCAAGGACTAAATTTTAAGCAAGGTAATTTCTTTTAAGTGAAAATTGAAACTCTGAGCCCAAGCATTCTTCTGAATTTCTTTAAAAGAATAATGATCAGTTGGATCAGGTGTCTTATTTGTGTAACCCTGAGAGTCCTGGAACGGGCTATGAAAATGTTGTAAGCCTGATTATTTTAAAGTTATCTTTGAGCTGATACCAGTGTGAGTGTGCTTGCTTTGGTACATGTGGGCTCTTAAGCTCCTGAGAAATGACTTCCTAGGTGAGCCAGAATACTTCTCTTAAAATTCGTGGCCTAGATCAGGCCTCTATCTCCAACCCTGTCCAATAAAGATAAGCTTACAGCTTTCTGTTTGAATAGATGCATGTCCTCTGCTGAACTGAATTATCTAAATCAGTACTATTTAGTGTCCTCCCTTTCCATAAAGATCCTTATTTCAGGCTGAAAGTTTAGGTCATTTGGGCCATCTTTTAGACTTGACTTCTTTCCACCTTCATGTCAATTGCTAAGGTGAAATTTAGCACTTGACCATCGTTTAGTAGGTATGTTCTTTGGGAGGAAGGGAGAGGTTTATTCCTGTAGTCTTACAAAATTAGGGACTGCTTTGAGTCCATTTGTGAGCAGTTAGTACTGAATAAGCGAAGTACCGTGTGTTAAATTAGGAAAGCTAACCTGTGCTAGTGAAAACTGTCTTCTGAATCAATTTTAAAGTAATTAACAAAGGAATGTTTTTATCAAAAATTATCATTTGTATTAAAAATTTCCCTGTTTGGACAATTTTTATTAATTTATTTTTATTACAGATGTTTCTCCTTTCCCCCCCAGACACCTTCCTCCCAATCCCACCCCCTAAATTCTCATTTTTAAGATGCAGATTTATCTACAGTTTAGTTTTCTAATTAAACTAAAAAGCTTTGAATTGAATAATTAGTTTTAACTCTTAACAAAGTAGAAATATATCTGGATTTTTCTCTCCGGGCTCCCAGTGTTGACCTTTTATGTGAGCAGAGATT